CCTATATCCGCTACCGCCGTCTCTCCTTGAACGAGAAACTGCGGAGGGCTGCTGGCCTAAAGCCAAGGAAACCGTCGCCAGGGCACCATCATCGGTACAATGTTATCACCTCCTGGTTAAATTAATCCCGTTACACGGAACACGGAGGAAAGACGCCGAAGATTCCATTTGAGAGGTGCTGGATAACCTCTTCGACGGTGAGTCTATCTTTTTCCCTCATCGTCACAAGTCTAATGCTTCAAACTAACGCAGAGCACTATCACGAACTAGCTTCAGCCGAAACCAACGGCCTCAACACTCCTCTATGCAACGGGGCCACCGGAAACGAAACATGTTTCTTTTCCGACACCACCGGACTCATTATGGGACTGCGACCGCCCCTCCACGCCTTCCCTACCCTCCAGAAGTACGAGGATAATGTCTTGCGATCTCACCTAGTAAGCCAATCAGACAAAGTGATGCCTTCATTTTGGGATCTACAGGAACCCATCAGATCAAGCTTCACTAAACGCGTTTGTACTGTACGGTGCGAGTCCCCTTCCTTCTTTACATATTACTCCTTATGAACACTTTTACCTCCTTCAATCCACAGGCCACCTTCTATTTCCTAATTCTACGAGTATCCATCACCGACCGTCGACTTCTTGAATCTTATCAACGCCCCCATATTCCACCCAATGATCAATTGAATCCGCGGGATAATTAAGTGGAAGACCACCTGACGTCCTCGAACCCATACGGTAACCTCAGCTTCTCACCTTTAGCGATGAGTGGAGGTGCATGACCACTCCTCCGTGCCTGTCGCTTTCCTGATTCGACGCTACTCCGCTCGGAGTGGGAGAGCTTGACGTTGGCATTTACCATATGTAAGCCTTCTTCCTCATCATTATATCATTTAATTGTCTCTCAACGAACCCGTTCCCCGCCAGGCTTGAATCCCGACATATGCTGCTCTTCGTACACGTATACATATCGCAGGGCTTCTACATCCTCCGGATTGGTCATTCGAATCCCTTGCTGAACGTGTAAGCTTCCACGAATGTGTTCCTGCGGCGTCCGACCAATGGCAATCCGCCTTCTCTTCGCTGGATAAACTTGCCCCTTGTTCCATTCGTAGCCCTCTATACTCACGGGCAAGAGAACCGAATACTCACAATTCTCTTCACCTAGATTAACCCCCAATTTCGCCCTTCGCAACGTGCTTATCGCCTAATTTTTATCTTTGAACCAGGAGACACACTTGCTGGGCTAAGTGAATCTTAGTCTTCGAGAATGCCTGCAAGCCACAAGGCTCGTAACTCGGGGACCTCTCAGAAGATGCATCGCTGACCACAGATAATACTTCCCACCTATGGGGATGGCGTCAGAATCCCTATCAAATCCGACATGAAGCCTGCGGTTCACACATCGTGAGTCGTCCTGCTTCATTATCCATAGACCCAAAAGCAGTGCGGTGATGGCGAATCTTTTGAAGAGTCGTCCCCACTTCCGCATGCATTTTCTCGTCTTCTTTCATCGTAAGAGACTTCTTCTGTCTTCCATTCGTCGATGGATCATCCGTACACGCGTTATAGGTGTGTTTTATTACATTCTACCCGCGATCCCCTTTGATTAAGTGTGTTAAACTCCTAAAGCGACCTCGCCACCACATCTTGACCCTCTCAGACACCTTTGGATGGGCACCACCAAATACTCATCTCGAATCCTGTCAGGAAATTCGAACAGTTGTTTAGGGGGAGCCGTGGAGGCGATGTTCTTAGGGTTATATACCCCATGGACCATGTGCGTTCGAAGCCAATCAACTTCTGTACACTTTCAGTGGACCTGATCGGTGCTGTCAAACGGGGGGAGATCTTTCAGTGATTCGCGATCCCTGACGCTGGATAGGTACTAGATCAGTGGGGCTCGTCGAGTCGGAAGTATGCTCGAATTTATCTTATCTTACTCGGTAATCTAATCTAGATCTAATCTCGAACGCCGGCACTTTCGCCAGGTTCAACGTTTCTGGACGCCATCTTCCGCCGTGACTCTATCCTCGTTCACTTCCTTTGTACGTGGCCTTCATTGGCCCGTGCCACGTTCTATTCTGAGAAGCAGGACAAGAACATCCATACTGACAAACCAGACGGACGGAATGCTCTGCCTCGCGTTCGGTAAGTATCGATCAAATTTATTCTTTCGTTCGAGTTCAGCCTCGTCTCCCACATTCACCTAGGGTCGCAGTATTGGCCGAACATCGACGTCGGTGCCTCCTCGTTCCGGATCCCGATGCCGCATTTAGCTTTCCAGTCCCACAACCTGCGTGGGGACGAAGGATTCCTTCACCGATCCGAAATCCTTCCCGATGCCTCTAAGGGGCCGGAGAACCTCCCTTTGATGATGATCAAGTATGGCATGGATCAACAATGGAATTAGTGAGGCGCAGGTACAGTCCTTCATTCGTACTTATATTGGCTGGACTATTGATAGACCGTCGTCTTTATCCTTCAACTAGGCGCTTTTGGCGTTGGGAGAGCGCGCTCTTTGGTTCGTCCAGGCCGGAAAACGCCACGGACAGAGCTTCATCAGCGTTCTTGTTAGACTGAAGATCCCTTGTCCATATCGTCCATAACAGGCGCCGTAATTCAGACGATATATTTATCCCCCGCTTATTCCCAGCCCTTGTTCTCGTATTCGAACGAGAGTTAATCAGGCGAGTCGGCTTCCGCCCTTGCCTGTCTACCTGATCTGATATGTGATTTAGGGTCTCAGAACTCTCCCTCCTCCTTGTTGGCTGGGCTCAAGGGTGGAATCGAAGCGTCTTGCCGGTGATTGAGAAGCATTGGGGTTTTTGAATCATCCTGCTTCACTGATGAACCTTTCGCGTCTGACAGATGGGCGAATGGGCGTGAACGAGCTTATTTATTACACTTGCGCTCGGCGGAGGCCACTATTTGATTTTACAGCTCGAATCGTCCAGAAACGCGTATGGAAGGCGGATCTGATAGTTCGGGTAAATCGTCGAAAAAGGATCGTATCAATTTCCCAATCAATCCTGCATCCAAGGAAAAAAGATGGCGGTCAGCATTATGCTCATGCGGCGTATCCCCGCCCGAATGAAGACTTCGGGTCCATCACCTTAGCAAGGCAACTGGGCGCCTCACAAATGCATATTTACCCATCCCCACGCGACTTCGTGGCTAGTCTCGTTGAGCCAAAGCTAGAGTCGATGGAATGGCCGAGGAAGTTGACGCCGGTGCCGAAGGGCATCACAGTATTGGACGTCAGTCAAAACGTTTGCTCGTCGCCTATTTCGCAGCATTTCTTGGGCATGGACTGATGATTGCTTTCCATGATACACGGGTAGTTTACTCGGGTTCGTTTCGGCAAGTAATAGACATTTCGGCCATATTTCTAAGTATGGCGATCTCACTGCACACTCTCGAAGTTGCGATTGAAGTTGACGCCATGTCCAGAACCTACTATGGACATCGTTTGTCATTTCGACGGTCAGTTATCGAAGGGTATGGCCCAAGATTTCGATAGCATTCGTGCGGTCACCCGTCAACGCATATTACAATGGGGATGACCAGCTGCATTTATCACAATCCCAGAAAAGATTGTCATCTGACGTTCCACACATCTCTGTAGAAAACCCGCATATGCAGGATCCCTACCCAGCTGGATGCTGATCTTCAGGGTCGGAGAGTTTCTGAAATACTCGCGCTCCCAATTGCTGAAGCCTCTATTCCTGCAGGACGTAGTTAGACCTTTCTCAATCCGATGCTCATTTAGTCTCGACCGGCGGGTCGCAAACTTGGAGAGACTATATTCCCGAAACAAGCAAGAGGAGTCCTGTACAGTGGCGCATGATCTTCAAATTTCGGTGGCTTTGACGCTTGTGATCTGGGACCCTCCTTGACAGACGCGCGTGACCTACCGCTATCGCGCCTGTCCAAAGAGCTATGCTACGAAAGAAATTTTTACGGTCTTATTACGGAGGATACACGCCGAAAATCGTTCGGGTTTCACTGAGAGGCTGAGGCCATGATGGGTCTTCCAGTATTCGCCATTTAATGCGAAAACTGCGCGATGCCATTCCCCGTTTCATCATCGAGCCAAAATCGAGCTTAATACGACCCTAGGTGCGTTCGAGATGATAGATTATTAGATACGCCTCGTAATAAAGGTCTAGGCTACACTGATAAGAACGACGGTTCGCCTGGACGCACGATCTCTTCGCTTCTCTATCACAAGCGAATAACGGCTGTACTGCTCCACAACAATGGAAACGTCAGTACGAGACACCCAGATCCCAGTGACAGTTGTGAGAGTTTACCAGATGGGTCCTACAAAACTGCGGTGGCACTGGAGTGATCCGTGCCGCACGAACACGGGACCTTCGGCGAAGAAGTCGGAACAGATGTTCCGTCAGGTACGGAAGGGACAAGAACATCGTCGCCGGTGCCTGAGGCTTGTACAGATCGCTTCCTCGAGCAAACACGGCTCAACGCGTCAGGGCGGAAGGTGGTTAGGCGCCTAAGGAGCTGACATGCGGTGCCGCCCCGTTCCTGAGATCGACTTTCCTCTGGAAAAGTATTTCTGTTTACGATCGAACGCAAGGCTCTACCTCGAAGAGTCGAAGAGACAAAACCCAGTGTCTCGACGTCAAAGTTACAAAGCAACATCATTGCGAACATACGAATGGATGGCGAATTTTCTTCCCGAAGTTCGTCGCGAATGAACTTACAGTGCTATATTTATATCTCTGGGCGATGTCCCCGAAGAAGACCACATAACGATTGCTGGAGGGGTGTTAATAAATACACAGGGAATGATGATAAATACGAAAAGACAAATGACTATGGATACAGTGTGAAAGACAAAAATCGCGCGATGCACTAATTGATACATGATGGGTGGACATAAATATGGTGTGCAGATAAGATCGAAGGGAGTGAATGTCGGATGATAAGCGAAAGGCGAAAAGAAATTCTATGAAGACATGTAACGTCGAATCCCTAATCAATGTTGCGGGCGCTAAAGAGAAGCACGGCCGAAATGATACACGGCTCGAAGAGCCCGACGCCGAATGCTTCACTCGTTATCTCGAGGACAACTTTCGTGTTGTCGTGGGAGAGCGTAAGTCTAGCGAACTGCGCAGGCGGATTCGGACCAGCGCTGTACAACTACCGAAGACCTCTCAGCCTCGACGCTCATTTGAGAAAATAGTGCAGACTCACGTAGATTCCCGTCTCACGTGGTATCCAGGCATATGTACGGCCACTGATGGTCATCGTCCTGTAACTGAAGGTACATGATATCAGTTTGAATAATATCCTCCGGGATAGCTGAATGGAACGAACCTTTGTTCAGACGTGAGCTTCAAGAAATCGCCAGCTCTTTGCCTCGCAAGAACTCCTCGCGCCTCCACAGTTGGATGCTGACTCCAATCTATCCTCGCGAAATCCTCTGAAGCTTTACGGATGTGAGTCCGCCCCGACGCGGTCGTAATGTCGAAAAACTTCGTATGGTTCGGTCCGGTGACTATGCAGTTAAAGATGTCGGGGTTGAGAGGGGCGAACTCGAAGCTAAGGACGGAGGCAGGTCGGTCTTCAGGAGGAGGAAGAGCGCCGAATGTAGGAGGATGCCATGGGTTGGGGCGCCAGGGCGCGTTGTTAATGGAATGCGGGTTTTGAGGGTTGTGCCATCCAGCTTGAGCGTAGGGGTTGTTGACGAACATTTCGAATAAAACTGTTGATATGAGGACGCGAAAAAGGCAGTTGTTGGAGACGGGACGAGAGTATCTCTATCGCAGGAGATGCTAGACGAGCGTCGACACTTGAGAGAAGGCGAACCTCGAAGGAAGGCTTGATGATCCAACGTCATCGAAGCTCATGAGTTATATACCACCCAACGTAAACGTAGATCTCAGCTCGGGTCTTCCTGATATGGAGCTAACGCACATAATCGACCTTCTAAGGTGTGCACAGGGCAAAAGCGCCGAAACATCTATTTCCCAAAGGATCGACACGCTATGAAGGACTCATCGCGGGTCAGAGAGTAGCTGACCTTGTTCTTAGCGAGGATAGTCTTGCAAGGCGTGTGTACTGACGCAGATTGAGCACGCCAACTGAGATAGAGCGACGGGAGAGGTGCAAAAAGTTCCATTCCGCGCTCGCGTGCCTTCCGCCTGGCAAGCGCCCGGAACGGAAGCGGGGGAACTATAGCTTATTCGTCAACGTGACGTCTCCGCTTGGATGGCAGGAGACGCGGGAGTCCCAAAACGGCACTCAAACAGGCTCGGGAGACGCACCACCCTGATCGACCTACAAGCTCAATTCACTATAGGCGACCAGTGAGTTAGGCGCTTTCCTAAAACGTTTCCGGAAGTGAGGTGGCCTGTACAGCGCCAGTGAGCCAAAGCCCGAAGGATGAGAACGAAGCCCTCGGCAAGCATCGCGACCCTCGAGGTGAGGCTGTGCGCGTACAGCATCGATCTCTAGCACGCATGTTTCAAGCAACTGGACAGGGTTTCGACAGATATTAGAGCCACTGCTTCGCCTTGTGAGAGCGCAATTGCTGGAAACACGCATACTCAGTTAGACTACCTGTGGCGTTGCGCGAACAGGTAGGGGATAAAGATCATGGTGAGACTGCGCAAGTTGGGAACAACACGGGAAGAAAGGCTGCGATGAGAACGCACTCTCATGGGGGGTACGAAAGTAGGGATGAACATGCAAAGGCGTCCAACGTTCATCACTAGGAGGAGTGTAGAAATGTTCCGTTCGCGAATTGTGTGAATGAGAGAGCACGAGGTTGAAGCTCGCATAAAATAACGCAATCAGGCACGGTGTCACACGATAACGTGACCTCGGGCCGCTGGGGAATTTCAGGCGCCGGTATCATAGGCGCCTAGAAGAGAACGGTCTGATAAGAGGTGCGGGACGATGTTTTACTCGCGTGCGTATGCCAAAGCAAAATGGAAAGACAAGCTCCGAATGCGGAGGACTGACCGAGAAATGCTGCGCAGAAAAACCATGGGCCTAGGGAAATTTGAATGAAGTCCGGCAGCTCACAAGAATGACGGTCCGAACAGAAAGTCAGTCATATCCGTTGATAGCACTAAAATGTAATCTTTCAAATTCCGTGATGCTCTGTAAGTAACACAAGAGCGACAATCAAAGGCTCGAGTAGGTCGTTATGAATTACCTTCGGCGTGACATCAAGCACAGGGGAGTCATGTTCACGATAGAACTTTGCTAGAAGCTCTACGCTCTGGCTCAGGTCGGGATCATGGTACATCTATGCCAAAATTATATATTATTCTTCGCCATTACGCATATATTTGATGACTCACGTAGATGGTTTCCCTGTGGCGTTCAAATGTATAGCTATGAGCGGCTACTCGTATGACCCGAGTCCCACTAGTAATAAGGATCAGAAGGATAAAGAACGGCAAGTAGAGCCCTTCTCTACTTACCTCATTTCCTCCCTTGGGCATCGAACCCACTGCAGTACGTCTCGCCTCGGGAGAACTCCTTGTATCTCTACGAAGTTACCACCGTCGTCATTCCATTCGATCTTCGCGAACAGGCGCCCATCACTACGAGAGAACGTAGTCGCAGTCTTTGCGTCGTCCAATATTTCTGTCGCCACCTCGTATACCGCTTTGTTACTTGGGGTCCGCAGAGTGCAGTCCAGGACGTCGCCGTCCGCCGTCTCGTATGCTATCGAGATCCAATTAGGAGAAGATACGGTGCCAGTGTAGGGTAAGGCGCCGAACGTAGGCGGTTCTGGCGTAGTAGGCGGCCAGGTTTGCCAACCTGCTTGGGCGTATGGATTCGTTGTATTCATTTCAGGCGGTGAGGAAGAGAGTGACTGGCTAATAGTCAACAACGCTCCATCGAGCCCAATTAAGAGATCTATACACGCCTGAAATAAATGCAAAGAGCGGGCAGTGCACCGCGAGAGAACGCATCGAGTTCTTGGGATATGAAGTATCGGGTCATGATACGACTATTGTCCAACTTGGAGTCTGGTTGTACGAGATGGGAAGCTGTACTGTTACTCTTAGTAGATAGGTGTCTAACGGAAATAGAATTCTCCTCACTTTTCAATGCATTTTCAGCATCGACCGGATCACGAGTCTTCCGGGATCAGCACTCGGTCACCTCGGGCCCCGCCTCAGGCGCACTGCATGTCAGTTACTCTACCATCGACCCAGTGGTAAACAGAACCAATTGCTGAGCTTTCTCAAGCTCAACATTTGAGATGATTCATGCAAGACGCGATCCATGAACTCAGGATCATTCCCATTGAATTTTTGACGCCCATCCGTGGACTCACGAACATTGGATGGAAATACCTATGGAAATTGATAGATTAACAAGCGATAGAAACCACCTCAAATCGTCATGAGGAGTCGTTATAATGCATACTTCCCACTGTCGAGTTCCTGCTTGAACGGGAGCTCAGGAAGATCCTTTCGGTCCCGTAGGCGGGGATCTCGGGAACAGGGTCCATCACGAGCACGACAACCTCACTGCGTGCACGGAGCTTTTCTATATGATAGGTGCAACGGAACTTTCAATTGAAGGCTATGCGCTTCTTATCGGACGACCACAAGTCGACTGATAGTGGGAAGGCGTCTACAATGACCCCACGAGCGACGTGATCAAGATTGGTCGGAACTCGGCCGTATCTTGTACTCATGTAGGTTTATGTGCGAAAATATTCACCCTGCGCGAGAGGACCAGAACAACGGGAAAACACAGGGTACCAGGTAATTAACCACCCAGCCTTTGCTTCTCCTGGTACACTGAGGTGTGTGACATATTATTCCTACCGCGCAGCGTCCGCGCGAACTGGCAAAGTCAGAACAACATCTTAATGAATTCGAGTATTTTCCCTGCATCTTACTCGTGTCGATGGGGGCATACATTTCCTATGCATATTCTTCGACGACGTACGCTGCGGCAGGGCTATCAAGCCTCGTTGTGGTCTATTACTTACGCTTCGAGAAGGACGGTAGGCTTTGCCTTCGAGTCTCGACCAGATCAGAACGAGTCATAGCCATCGCGATCCTTCTCGGGAGAAGATCCTACGGGAGAGGCGTTCCGTCAGTGTCACTCAGGACTCGGTCTCGGAGTGCAGAAAATCGGACGGGAGGCGCCTGTACGACACCGGCGAACGGAGAGCATGGGAAACTAATTATTCGTGGAAGGAAGTGTACCATCTCTGTGAATAGGGAGGTACATACCAGAGGCAATGAAGTGCGTCATGTCAATTTTGCAATAGCTGATAATACACTTGCTGTACCGTAGCCGCGTCATACCACGGCACATCGACATCTGCGATCCTGATTTCGGATTCGGGCTGACCGTGTCCATCCAGAAATATAACACCAACTGGCTATCGAGAAATGTAGAGCAAGTGGTCTTCAGAAATATGACGAGAGAGAGGGATGAATCCAGTCAAGACTTCAGCCCCGAGCATAGCGCGCACGCACACGGCATGATCCCCTGTATCAGCACAGAGCCTCGAGAAGATCGTTGACATTTGCTTTGAGCGAGAACGACAGAAACGCACGAAGGGAAGAGTAACTGATCAATTTGCGACGCCAGAATGCAGTTCGGGAGATTGGTTTTCCTCCTAGAACTTCAACTTCACTATATACATAGTTTTGAGATTTAAGGCATTTCTCTCCGTAATCATGTAGTGCGGACAACGAAACGTAGATCAGATTCATGACACGTTGCCGCAGGGTACATATGCTCGCTACGCGCTGTTCACGCTGCACGAAACTTGGAGTATCGTACGTGCCGAGATAACATCGTACTCGCCTGACTCGCCCTAGAAGGTTCGGGTGGACGTGAATTGTCCATCATGAGTTCTCATAGTAAGATGCGAGAAGGACGTTGCAAGACAACAACACAATCGTCGACGTGATATGAGAGCCCTATCCAGCATCGCAACGACGGCGATGCACAGGCCACAACGCCGTAGCCGTGCAGTGGTTTATGTGTCGTCGAATATGTGACGGGGGCATAAGAACTAGAACCAGGGGGGTGATGATCGGCGACGGGTCGAGGGCCGCACGCAGACAGTGAAAAAGGAGGGGACAGCGTTGGAAATAAAAGCCAATTCGTCCGGCAAGGAGGCTTGGAAGTGGGATGAACGAGACCAATCTGAGCGTACTGAGAGACAAGATAGCACAGTCCTCAGATCCGTAGAAGAAGACGCCGACGAAGAGGAAAAAAGTGACTGTTGAACAGGCTTACGTAAGCACCCTCATCGTTGACGATCTTGCTACGAGACGAAGTGGAGACTTGGTCCTTCGTCTCCTCGTGGTCAGCTTCCACGATGCCGGTGCCTCAATAAGGAACGCAAGGTTCCTCGTCCTTCCCGATGGTGGCTCCAAAGTTGATCTTAAGAAGCGGATCGTGGATAAAATAAGGAGACCGATACCCACCAGCCGTCGGTAGACGCCAAGATGAGGACGGCTGTATAAGAAGTTCCTGAGCAAGCGGCGTGCTCGTTGTTGAATACTAAGGGCGAGCTGGGTGTTGATGTTTCTTTCTGCCGCTCAATCCTTCGGCGTTCGAGCGATTAGGTCATATTTCGGGCCAGCAAGACCGGCAAGGGTTCGGGTAGTGCTGCAGGCAGAAGACGGGCGGCAATGAGGGAAGAGCTATCACGACAAAGTAAGTAAGAGTCGTTATCAGAGAAACGTAGAAAGATATATGAGGCAGAAATAAGGGTGATAGTCGATGAATGCGATGAAAGAATGGGTGCAGAGTGGCACCGTGGAAGAGCCGACCAACACAACAGGTCGAAAACGAAATTCAAACACGAAAGCTCGAGGCAGCCCACACAACGCGAAAGAAAGTAAAGGGAACATACCTCGCGAACAGCACCACCCATCGCCCATCACCTCCTCGTGGCCATATTTCGCGGTACGCCTCCATCGATGTCGCAAGTCTCTTCTGTCCACATCCGACATCGTAGTGGGCGCTACAGGTGTGAAGGACTTCATAAATGGTCGTCGGCAGGTAAGAAGTCGAGCTATTCAAGGTGACGGCGACAGCGGCCAAGAGAGACGGTGCTTGCTTGACGTTATGCGACGAAGGCGGTGGTGAAATCTGAAAAGAGCGTGTAATCAGATATTTGAAGTTGACGATACCGACACGAACTGACGGAAAGGAAGACATCAGAGAAATGATGATGATGATGGCCGCACAGGGTGGATAAGGACAAAAGAAAATCGTGGAAGTATAAAGTGTGGAGAGCGCAGAAGAAGAAATACATGCACAGCGAGAGTCCAAAAAACAGCGAAAGACTTGGGGCGAGGTGAGAAAAAAATAGCTTATGTAAGCAAATGAGGGAACGAAAACCCCCAAGCGAGATGCAGTAGATGGCGCAAAGGAGAGGGTAGAATTAGACAAGGTGGCGAAAGACAAGCAAGAGAAGGCCCTGCGAAAGCGATCCGTGGAGGTCGACCGACACAACGCGCGGAAAACGAAACTCAAACACGAAAATCGACCCAACCCGCACAACGCAGAACAAGGGGAGAAAGAAAAGAAACCATACCTCGCAAGCAGCGCCGCCCGTTGCTCATCGTCCTTCGACTCCCCATATAAATATTCCGCGGCATAGGTAGGCCCCTTCATAACACAAGTCTCCATCCTTTCTCTGCCCATAGAGTATCGACATGCAATTCTGGTATGATCTTGATTGATCTTCACCGACAATCGCGTCCGTCTTCCTACAGCTCGTTGAGTGTTCTGAAATTGAACATAGAGAGGAGAATCGTGAATAAAATCGGAGAACAACGCTTACCAGCTGTCGGCAGACATAAGGACGACGATGGCTGTATAAGAAGTACAACAATGCGAGGGCAATCGGGCCGTGTTGGATATCGAGCACGAATAACGTCCGTCGCACAAGTGCCCGATCCGTAGGACGGACGGCGATGGGGACACCTATCACGATGAAATAAGTAAAAGTCTTGACAGGAGAAACGTAGAAAAAGAAGACTGAGCAGATATAGAGGCAGCTGGTCGACGAACGCGATAAATGAATAGATGAAGAGTGGTGAATGAGCTCCACCCTCAACGGAACGGAACGCGAAGATGGAAACCGGAACCGAGAAAGGGTAAAAAGGGTGGCAGAGGACGAACCTTCGACGTCTACTTCAGCCCATACGAAACACGCCGCCCTCATCTCATCAACCGCCGCATCCCAGTACTCGATCCCGGCACCTGATGTCCACCTGCCGTCGAACAAAGCAGCAGCAGCAGTTCAACCAGCGCGAACTGGAGCAGAAGTGCGGATTTTGACGAATTTCTAAGATTATTGAAAGAAGAAAAGTCAGCATTGGTGGCCACAAGCCCGTGGAGGCCAGATAGAAAGGAAGGAAGAGCAAGGGACGCGAAATGAGGCGAAATAATGAGAGAATAGTGGAGATAACTCCGAGGGCAACATCAGCGTACGCAGGCGATTCAGGACGCTCCGCCCTGATAGAATGCACGGCTACCCTACAGACGGGGATAAAGTAGAATCGAGGAACATTCGGGACGGAGACGAGAACGAGAAAGGTAAAGTACACGGAGAAAGGATTCGACAATGAGAGAACACCACGTACCGGATCCAAAAGCTCTCCGTAATGCAGAACCAGCCGTCCTTCCATGTCATTCGCGGGCCAGAATGGAGTCGAAAGAGAGGCTGTAAGTAACTTCGCAGTAGTTGAGAGCCAAGTGTTGATAAGTGTCGATGCACTGTGCCTGGGCGACGTAGAAAGGATTTGCACCAATGACCAAAAGAAAATGCGGGGAATACGCGCACTGAGAGTATCATCTCAGATGCTGCTCAGTGAGAAGAAAAAGATGACTTACCTGTGGCTCGTTAACTAACCATCGTGAAGGGATTGCGCCCATCGTCCGGCATGGTAGATAGACCGAAGGGGCGATCCAAGAGCGATCTTTATTGACCGTTTCACAAGAGCAGAGTACGAGCGTTTATCCACCGAAACTAAGCTGAATACGAGGCTAAATATGATCTCCTCGACGTGACGGAGAAGAAGACACACTCATCGATCTACCCAATCCCTGTCATCCCATTTCGGGATCGTGTCGAAGTCCTCAATCCGTGGATATGCGGTGGATGTGCTGAGGAGCGTCTGGGTGGCGACGAAGAAGAGGTCCTAGTTCAATTAATCTGCCACTGAGGATCCAGAGCTGGGAACGAGAGGGGTTGCATGGCTGTGAAGGTGCGTACAACTTTGCAAGGGAGGAAGGACTTCGGAAGCCAGCAAATACACACAAATATCCGATTGTCTCGGGCAAGTGACTTCCGGTAACTGGCGTTTTCTCCTTTCGCCCACAGAGAAGACATGGAGAACGACACGCCCTGCACGGTGTGCACAGTCAAAGGCTATATCGAGACCAGCAACCTCTCCGGCGAAGAATGCCCAAGTCCCCAGTTTGACGCGTGCGATCCTTGTCCAGGATGCCGGGAAATCTCCTCCATCGACGCTCAAATCGCCCAGGCTCGTGTCCTCCTCCAAAACCTCTACCTCAAACGTTGTGACGCCAAACTCATACGAAACAAACACCACGACCAGCTCGTCCGCCGGCTCCCGGTAGAAGTCGTATCGCACATTTTCATTCACTGCCTTCCTCATATACCACCACCACCGTTCTCGCTCTCCGAATACGATGGCCGCGGCAAACGCGAAGCGCGGCCTGAGCGCCCCAGACTGGTCGGTCTTTTCCTGGCGGCCGTCTGCCAACGCTGGCGCCAAATCGCATTCGCGACGCCCCATCTCTGGACCGTCGCACGCGTCAAGATATCACGCCAGACTATTGCTCTGGATGCCAAGCTGACGTCCGAGTGGCTGCGACGCTCCGGCCGCCTTCCCCTCTAGCTAGACGTTTACGAAGACAAAGAGCAGACAAACTCTCTTCGGCGCTGGAGGTGGGGCAGTTACAAACCTCCCGTTGAGTTCAACCCCACGCCCATCTTCGACGCTTTAAATCCCCATTTGTTCCGCGTGGATGTATTGGAAGTGCACACCGAGAGTAAATACCTCGCCCTTCTGCACAGCGAAGTGCCAATTCTCTCCCAACTATACCTATCTCTTAACTCTTGGGAGGTCGAATCCTTCTCGACCGCCCTTCGTTTCGTGGGCACCGTGCCGAGCCCACACCGAGTCATCCTCTGTGAGGCGCCCTCTTCAGCCGTCGGCATAAACTGGGCGTCCCTGACGCATTTCGAGGCTCTCTTTCTAACCCTCGACGAATCCCTCCTCCTGTTGCAGAACTCGCCCCTTTTAACGTATTTCAATCTTGGGAACATCACCAGGACCAGCACTCCCACCTCCGCCAGCTCCTCCACCTCCGTTGTCACCTGCCCGCAAATCACCCTCGCTGCCCTCCATACCCTCATCCTCACAACAAGCGAGTCAGAACTACTCTTCCCCCACCTGGCCGCCCCTGCCCTCCAAACCTTGCAAACCATGGGAGAGCTGCCCGTCATCTCCTCATTTATTACGCGCTCAAACTGCAGCCTCCAATGCCTCACCGTGACGCGATCACCAGCACCCAGGAGCAATTCATTGAAGTGCTCGAGAAGACCCCACTCCTGACCGAGCTGGAAGCGTGGTTGGGCCGGATACACGACAGCTTCTTCAAGCGGTTGGCCGCAACCGCACGTATCCCAGAGTACACGCTGGTCGAGGATGTTCCTGCCCCGCTTGCGCGTTCTCAAACTAGGTGGCGTCCCGTACTTCAGATGGTTGTCCATTCCTCCTATCTTCTCGTTGGGCAACAAGGAGATGAACACCGACGGGAACGACAGCGATTTTGTCCACCGGCCCCTATCCACTTTCAAGCTCACCATCTCCTGGTTTGATGAAGACGAAACTGATGCACCACATCCAGGGCAAACACCCACCAAGGTTGACTACGAGGTTGTGGAGTGGCTCAGAGAACTTGAAAAGGCCAGGAAAAAGATAAGTATAGAGACCAAGCCAAAGACAAGTCCCTCTGCGAGTCTACTGTAGTTTAATAGGATGCATTTTATCGGCAATAGTCGCCATTACGTAATTTCTTCCTTTAGACTGAAGGACGCGAAGGGAGGGAAAATCGTGCAGATGAAGGAACGAAGACATGGCAGGAGAAAGTAGGGCACAGCGGAGGGTGGAAGGGCGGGCGAAGGGGGCAACGGCGAAGTGCGCATTGAGAGCTTGGGAGTCTAGAGATGAGTGTTCGCCAAGGAGACGAGCGTAGAACACAACGACAACACGACAGTGATTCGGAATAAAGTGCATAGAATTGACAAATTTATAGAAGGACATGAAAAAGAAAGATAGCACGCACACAAAAGTGACAGACGACTCCGAACATCTGCGCTGCCGTAAAATACTAACTATCGTGAAGCTCATATGATAAGCAAAGCGGACTAAATAATTACGGTCCTCGTGGGGCTTCCCAACCATCTATAATAACAACCTTGCACTCGAATTGCAGCCCCGGTATCGCAGACACTTCACGGCACTGCAAGAGGTTGCCCTCTTTCCAGGAGTCCTCCAACCTTGATCTGTATGCGGCAAACGGTCCATCGTACCTCTCCGGGCAATGCACCCAGAACTCGAGTTCGAAATGCTCAAGGTAAGGGAAGTTCTTGCGGGTGATGACATCGTTGAAGCGTTGGAGGCAGAGCAAGAGCCTGTGCTGGATCTCTTTCGTGGTGTCGAAGTGTACCATGAGGTATTCCACGGTGTTCTTGCCCGCAAGGAGCTCGAGTTCTTCGATGAGACCTAAGAGCAGGTCATAGTCGTCGGCGTATTGCAGCGTTGGTGAGGCGGTTTTGTGTGAGAGGACGATGACCAGCGTTGTGAGGCTGCCGTCGAAACTGTAGTCCAGAATCGCCTTTGCCAGTCCTGCGGCAGACTTTTGCGGAGAATCGACTGCATATGCACGTCAGCTGTCTAAATCTCCTCGTAGATGACTCAGCCACTCACCTACACACGCTAGACCTTCGAGATTGCTCGCCGCCTCCATAAGCTCCCTGCCTAGCGTGCACTGACGCTCGTTTCCCCAGCTGATATAGAGGAACTGAAGCTGCTCAAAGTCGAACACAAACGGGCGCGAAGCCAACACGCTAGCCGCGTCGTGCTCGTAGTAGTACAGATCCGTAATTTTGGGGAGTCGCCTGTTCTCTGTCTGCCTCAGTGACAAGCCAACTTGTGTCGAAGCCCGGTCATAATTTAAAGTGCTTTCGGGGTCTTTTACCTCCACGCCCTGAAGCATCACTGTCCTGAGATCCGAGGATAGAGATATGAAAACGGACAAAGGCATGTTCTTGATCCACGAGAGGGTAAGACTTTCGAGCCGTGGAGACTGGACGACGTGGATGATGGATGAGCGCAGTCGCACGTCGAGCGCGTTCCAGTCCAGGCGCGGCATGTCCAGCGTCACCTCGGCCGCATGATATTGAACTTCGACCTCAGCGAGATTGGAGAGCTGGTTCAGAATCCAGTGGAGATTCGTATTCTGCGAGTCCGAGTACTTGATCGTATAGCACACTTTGCGCACAAACGTGGCGAGGTGGGGGGATCGGGTGAATGCATCTTTGAGTCGGGCGAGCGCGCCGGCTCTCCGTGCCGGCAAGATCGGACATATTCGAGGAATGTGGAGGTCGTTGAAGAGGACGCGTTGGGATAAGAGAGCGAGGGCACGGCAACAGCGAGAAAGGGCACGCAGGGTTTTCGTATTCGCCTTCGTGTTGGGTTTGAGCAACTTGACAATGAGCATCCAGATCTCCAGGGGCAGCGGCTTGCTTAATACACCCATTCTGAGCAGTGGTAGGAAAGGAGGTGGAAGGATGGGTTGTGGCAATAAATTTCGACCGGCGCTCTGGCTTTATAGAGCTCGGCGAGCCACATCAGAGCCATCGGGGCCACCCTTTAGTGGCCACATTTTAGGCCCAATACGGAATTAACGCACATTACGCAGAACCGCATACCTCCACCCACGGGCATGAGCCCTCGGCGACGCGCGAAAAGTGTCGAACTTTAGATAATGGACCAGTTCCACTCCGAGGAAGAATAAATAAGAGGGAAAGCGATGCGAAGGCCGCGAACACAGGAACCTCCGTCAACTAGCAGCGTGAATGCATCTCCCCCCCTAGTGCTAGCGACCTACCACCATTTGCTTCTATTCCCGTTCGTTCGTTCGTTCGTTCGTTCCCCTCCCATTCGCCTCCTCATCGACGCATTCTGTCTCTCATCTCTCTCGCTCGTCTTTCGCCATCGTCATGCGTTCTCTATGCCTACCAGCCACACGACGATGTGGCATCCCCTGCGCGCCGCACAGTAATGATGCATGCCGTGGACAAACATAGGCATATCAGACGTTGTCGTGGTGGTTCAGCTTTGGAATTACCCCAGAAGAAGTCAAGAGAGGGGAAATGACAACATCATGCGTCCACGGGGAGGACGAAGGACGAAAGCCCGCCCATCTCTAGACTCCAAGCTCTCCGTACATTCGAGCTAGCTGCCCTTGGGCTCGACGCGTAGTGCCTCACACCACACAAATTTCAAAGGAAAAGAAGTATCATCTCCTTGATATTGCCGAGCGGTAAATCGGGTAGACTGCGTCATACTAAGGACGGGATCGGACAACGACAAAACTCGACACTTCGGGGAAACCCCGACGATTGCTCAAGTGCATGTCCGGGGTGTGCAGCCTCGAAGAGAGATCGCAGTCACGCCTGCCCGATCCTGACCTTTGTATACAGCATGCCCCAAGTCAAGGCTGAGCGAAGGGCCGATGGGCAGCTCGGCGAGGACATGAGAAGGAGCGGGAGAGAAAGATGAAATTGAACGCAGCTGATCAAGGCCAAAGAGGAGATTCGGAAACGCAGAAGGAAAACATGCGGTACGGCGTAAGAAAGTGAAATGAAATAAGAAATAAAACCGCGGTTATGCGAGCTTGCTCACGAGAGCTGACACCATCGCGGCCAACAACGAAGAGCAAATTCCTCGGTATATGCACGCCATCATTTGGAAAGAAATGAGTATAAGAAGACCAAAAGGTATATTCCAAAGGATGAAGAACCACCTCATGCTCTAGTCAAGCCTGAAACACGACACGAGCATCAAGACTCTGGGCGAGATGGTGAAACGACGGGGAATAGAAGGGAAAAATAAAGACGATACAGTATGACACATGCCGTGCAAAACTTTCTTGCATCGATGGCTGGTTCCAAAAGAGAGAAACGCTGTGTTGAAGATTTGAAAAATCGGACAGCATGTGGGTGGGCGAACGTTCTCCAGAAGCCTGGGAGGAACGGCAGCGAGTTAACGTTGGAATAGGGGTAACAGGAAACAAATTCAGAAAACCTGCCTAATCGTGACGCACGTCAAGGAAGAATGAAGGAAAAGGTCCAGGGGGGTTAAGTAGAGGGAAAGGTGAAAGAGCTGCTGTCGGCGCCAATGGGGACCAGGTCGAAGTGGTATAAGACGAGCAGAAAAAAAGAGCAAGCCTCTTTAGCGAGGAAAAAAGGGGGACAAGAAGCGGCCCATAACGACGAACTTGGAATGTCAACACCAGAAAGTGGGAATGCCGGAAGAATTAAATAGGTGTACCATGAACATGAACGGAAACGCAGAAAATCCGTAGATGGAACCTGACACGAGGTGGAGAACGGCGAAAAAGGTACTTGAGAAAGAAGATAACGCACGTCCCTCGAACAAGACGGGGGGAAGGCATTTATTCACATGAGGAGAAAGGGAAGGTATACGGGGCGTAACGGCAGGGCGAAGTATAGCAGCAGCAAGGATCAGAGAGGGGAAGAGACGAGTGCTGTGAAGGCAGACTCCGTCAGAAACGCAGCAGACGGGGCGGGGAACGGGACGCAAGAGACGGACGGCAGACGAAAAGACGAAGACTCGAGGTTCGGAATGATGAAGGGTAGAGCACGACGAACCTTGGCTGTAAATCTGAGAGTCTCTCAAACCATTTCCCTCGCCTCATCGTCATCTTCGTAGAACGATGCGCCATGTAGAGTAGGTAGTTTTCGTTCCGGGCAGTGTTCGTCCAAGACGTCGAGGGCGGGGCCAGAGTCGAAGTCCTACTTGCGTGTATGCGTATATTTCGGGAAGGAAAAAGGAGAGCGTATGTTAGCGCTGATGTATGATGATCTTTCGAGGAAAGAAGATGAGGATAAGGATGAGAGAGACACACGATCGGGAGAGGATGGAAAGCCAACGGTGGGCGAGTTGGGGACAGACGACACGGAGGACGACGAAGACGACGAAAAAAGAAAGCCCAAGGAAGGCCAATCATCGCCACGGCACTGCTGTGACCAGCAAGAATCAAAAAATAAAAGAACAGAACATAGAGAGAAGGCGCAGGACCATGTCGACACTCCAAAAACGAAAGTCAAAAACGAAAACGGAAACGGAAATGAAAACGAAAACGCAAGTCGGATCAAGAAGAGCGTTGGACTCAGAAGAATGTCGAACGTTGTGTGGGCAGAAAAACGCGTGGACCAGTCGGACCGGACGACGGGGTGCATAGTACGAAGAAGAAAGGAGGAGGGAGGGAGGAGGGAAGAGAGGAAACGTAAAACGTAAACATACCCTGCTCACCCAACCAATATTCCACAACCAACCCTCCACAGCCCCAACCATACCCAGAACAGGCACCCGCTCGCACCGTCCAGCGCCAGCTCCTACCTATCGCTCATCGCCTGCTCGATCGTCTTCGAAGCCAGCACTCGCGAGCCCGGGCCCTTCAAGCTCCTCAACTGACGCATCACTAGACTGCAGACTGGCTACGGTAAGTGCTCGAGTACCGATAGTAGACGATCCGAGCTGGAACGTAAGGGTAAGCACGGAAGGCTGGGGGCGACGACAATACATGAACGGGAGGAACATACTTGGCTTGGAAAGC